TATCTGCTCTTTTCGTCCATAGAAACTAATGGGAAGCTGCTATTCCACCTTCTGCCACTAGAGGGGGATATTTTTTCTTTTTTTCTTTTAACCTAAGATGACTTAGCTTTTAAAAAAAGGAAAAAAAAGAGTTCGTAACTCGAATCTAAGTTCGTAAGTCGAGTCCATATATTCCTATGAGAGCAGTTCGTAAGTCGAAACGTTCGTATGTCGAGCCGTTCATAAGTCGAGACCCCACTGTATTCTCTAGCTTGAAAACTCTGAAAAGGATTGTCAGAATTGACTCGATGGCACAATAAGCAAGCAAGGTACCCAAAAACAATTCATGAGAGGTCTGTAGCTAATCAGATTTGTTTGCAGAAGATATAAATAAAAGGACTCAACATTCTCTTCTTTTTCTTACAAGATGACTATTGATGAAGAGAGGAGATGAAACAATCCTTATTTCCAACTTTAAGTAGGTTTGGAATCTGAGATAATTCAATTTTCTGACTATTTGGAATAAGCTAAAATTGGGAAGAAAATGAAACTAAGTGGCTAAATTTAGCCCTTTCCATAGTCTCCTTATTATACAGAACTTTACTCTGAAGCTGTAGCAAAGAAATTGTTGTTTGAGGGAGCACAGGGTGACCATGGAATAGAGCCTGTAAGCCTGCAAGGCCCTTTCTTTAAAGGCTACCAGCTGTTTCTCTGAAAAAGGATGAACCTGGCCCAGAAAGTAAGTCAGACTCTGGAACAATTCCAGCAAAATACAGCCAAGCTCTGTCTTTTCCTGCCATTCATAGTCTGAGCAAGATCAAAGATAACACAGACCTCCAGGGCTTCAGGGCAGTCTTGCTGTCATAATATTCTAAGCACCAAGACTGAGATGAATGTTAGTTTTTATAGAGAGAAGTGGACAGTTTGAAAAAGGAATTGCCCTTCATGATATGTAAATTAGCCTTGCTTTCAGCTCAAGTCAACACCTTTTGAAGGTCTCTTTATTGTTTTAAAAATACCTTTTGTCATACTTTGGGAAGTAAAACCACACTCAAGGCACTTTTTACTCTCCTAAACACATGATTGGAATATGAAGTTTTCCTCTTCAAACAGAAGGGCCTTCGAGGCAGCTGCTGAAGTGTGGATGGAGATATTGTTGCGTTGCAACTCCCATGATTTCTCCAGTTGTTTTTTTCAGACTCTATCTAGCATTCATGGAACTTGCAGTTCCACAGCATCTAGCTGGCCAGAGGGCAAGAGAGAGGAGTGGAAGGAGGAAACTGACAAAAACCACTTCCTCACCTTTTCATGAGCAGAATTCTGTTCATGGGATCTTGAGCCCACTGCCTCCACCCTGAAACTAGTATACTGTCTATTTCAGCCCATTGGAATGGACACCATGTGTAGAATAGCTTCTTGGCATAGCTTTTATGATTATATTTCCTCTTCATTTTACTTTCTGCATTTTATTTATTGGTCAAAAAACCCCCTCTAATTTATGAATGTGGGATATTGTGTTTCTCTATCTGCAATTCAAAAAGGCAGGAAATGAATGGGGGGACGGGGAATCAACTCAGTTGAACTGTGGTGTTGGAGGAGAACTTTAAAGATACCATAGGCAGCCAGAAAGGCAGAAAAGTGGGTGCTCAATCAAGTTAAGCCTGATCTCTCACTAAAGCAGAAATGAATAAACTGAGGCTATCCTACCATGCACATATAATGAAAACACAGTACTACCAAAAAGACAATATTGCTGGGCAAAGTGGAGGAGGCAGTCATAGGGAGAAAGGAAGACCTAGCATGAGACAGATTATCTCAATAAAGGAAGCCATAGCTGCTAATTTGCAAGGCCTGAGCAGAACTTATTAAAAAATACAGCATTGCTAGGAGAGAGGGCAGTAGGAAGAGAGAACAACCTAATACGAGATGTTGGTTGGAAAAATATGAGCAGAGCTGTTAATTATAGGACATTTTCAAAGTCAGTAACTCACACATCAGAAGTGACTTGATGGCACAGAACATCGTTGGAGTTTTTTCCTTAATTCCCAAACAAAATGGTATAGTGACAAATAGGCACCCAACCTCTGGTAAAATCAAGGCAGACCCCCACCGCCACCACAAAGCAAAAAAAATAAAAAATAAAAAATTCAAAGCTTAAATGAATGAGTTTCTGAATATTTATTCTCTATTTTTAAAATATATATTTTTAATATCTTTACAACAGAAATAGAAAATATTTTAAATGTCTCTTTGGTCAAGAAAGAGTTAAATGTTTTCCTCCTCAGAGTCAATTAATTTGGTCCTGACTGATAGGGTCAAAAGCTCAGACCTCTGTCCCCACTCAACCTGATGTGTATGTTTACATTTAGAACTGTGCTATTTATAAGAAGCCAAAACTCAAAGAAACAAACAAAACAAAACCAAAAAAAATACAAAAACATGTGGCACCTTAAAGACTAGCTACTAACCATAGATATTTGGTTTGCTTCCATATGAAAAAAAAGGGGTTGGGACTAACCATTCTCTGTCAAGAGAAGCAAATTTGGTCTTTTCAATGTACAACAACAATATCTATTGTTGCACGCTTGTGCAACCATAATGTGTTTTTAGAAGATTAGTGATTAGAGATGGGCACAAAGCAAAAACAAATCAGAAAATTCATTGAAAATTGTTAATTAATATTTTTGAGAGGCAGCCCAGACATCTAGAGACACCCACTGTCCCTGCCCCCTTCCAACCACCCCCCATTGCCTCCCTACCTTTTGCTGCACTTCCTCCTCCAGTGCTGCTGCTGCCGCCTCCTGCATATTGGCTGCAGAGGGCAATGGGTGTCTAGGTTTCTGGGGGAACCTTTTATAGGACTGATGAACTGACCAACTGATTCATGGCTCATCAGAAAAAAATTGGAAATTCACGGTTTGTGGACTTCAGTGAACCAAGACAAACCACCATTTTGCTGGTTCGTGCCCATTGCTATTATTTATTCTCAAAGTCAGGGCATGTTTATGTCCTGCGGTCTAAAAAGTAACTTCTGTGCAAACTATAGACCAAAAGTAACTATAGTCCAAAATTTTAGTCCAAAAGATCCAGATCAAACCACTGAAAGTAAAGACAAATGGGCTTGAAATGTAGGTTTCCATATTATTTTTGTTTTATTATTGGTACATCTCCCATCTGAGGATCCTGAAACATTTTGTCCATATTCTTCACCTCCTGTGCTTCAGGTTCCTAGGTGCCCCTCCCCAGCCATAAGTCCTTCCTATTGCTCACACCGACAAACATGGCTACAACTTCAAAAACGACACCCATATTTCTTGTAACTTTGTGTTCTGCCTTAGAAACTCTTGGGCTCCTACAAATCAGCCTTCTGAATGCTCAAAGTCTGCTATCTGGCAAATACACAGCTCTGCAGCAACAGACAGGGAAGACAGGAGGAGACCCCAGCCATCCAGCGCTCAGACTGAGTGATGTGTTAATGAGCACAGGAAAAAGGACAGCGAAAGAAGATACACGGCTATGTGGCGACTGCCAGGGTTGTTCTCAGACTGAAAGTGCCAATTGATCGTGCTTTGGCTTCTCACCACTGGAATAATAAATAAGAGACCATGGCGAGGAAGGACTACATACTGTAGGATCCATCTTGTCAGTGTTTATCATGGGCCAGGCCATTGTTTTGATTCCAGTCTACATAATTTTACCCCATAGTGTGTAGATCCCCTCCTTGGTGAAAATCTTTTCCATTTTTTTTGCCAGGAACAGCTTTTTAACATTCAGCTGATCTCTTTCTCCTCTCTGATATCATAAAGGCTGCCACTACGGCCAGGCATTGCTGGTTGTGAGGCAGCCTTTCTTGTGTCTACCAGAGAAGCATATTGGCAGCAGTGCCAGAGTTGCAAAGAGGCAAAGTAAACTCTGGTTTACAACCGCAGTTTGGAAAGGGCTTCTAACTATAAAATACAAATAAAATAAAATGTATTTATTGTTTGTACTAAATGTAAAGCTTTATTCAGTGCACATGTGGAGGGAATGGTAAAGCTATGGGCTTACAGCTTTAGTGTGTCTCAATTCAGCACAGCTTAGCAGTTCCACATGCAATAGTTCAGCCTTGAGAACAGGCCAAGAATACATGTCCCAACATCCAGTCCCTTGGGCTGTTGACCTTATAAGATCCAGAACTTAAAGTTTCCAAACCTGCTGTCCTCAATTAATACAATATCCTGAAATCCTAATATGCATTAGTGTGTCTCAATTCAGCACAGCTTAGCAGTTCCACATGCAATAGTTCAGCCTTGAGAACAGGCCAAGAATACATGTCCCAACATCCAGTCCCTTGGGCTGTTGACCTTATAAGATCCAGAACTTAAAGTTTCCAAACCTGCTGTCCTCAATTAATACAATATCCTGAAATCGAGAGAGCGTCCTGGGAAAGATTTAGATGGCAAGTTTAGCTTCAAGAAAACTATGGTTGAAAAGAACAAAGAAGAGGGAGGGAGGGAAGAAGACATAATTGAGGAACTATAGACTGAGTCAACCTTCAGGTGGCAACCTGAGCTCATTGGGATTGAACTAGGGCCGTGAGCAGAATCTTGACTGCAGTACTGCAGTTTAATCACTGTGCTAAGAGTTAGCAAATACTGTTTCTTTGGTGTGTTTTTTTTGTTCATTGCTATGGATGGGAAATGGTCCTTGTGTGATTTTCTTCCCTGTGTACCAAAATAATTTTGCCGGTTTTGGGTACTATTCATTTGCAAGGGTAGGAATTTGCTGCTCTCATTCAGGCAGCCAGATATCTCAGGCTGGACCTCATAGTGCTTGCTTACAAATATAGAATTTTGACCCCCAGATCTTATAAACATGTCAAATTATTACTGGCCCAGCTGTTGTAGTACTTTATGGATTGCCACAGAATTTTGATGTTTGGATTTTAAAAGTCTATTTACTGCCTCAGTTCAAAAGTGTGTAGAAGCTGGAAGGAAGTTTTAAAATATTTCAGCTAAAAAGCTTCTCCCCCATTCTTGCAGGCATGATGACTCGACTGAAAGCTCAGCTTTTACTTGGCTTCCTATGTCAAGCAGTCTGCTCCTTTGTGAATGGTTTCCCCGTTGATGCTTCAACTGAGTTCCGATCTGCTTTCTCTGTTGCCCGAACCAGCAGCATGGAAGGAAGCACAGAAATGGTGATCACCTTTGATAAAGTCTATGTGAATATTGGAGGTGATTTTGATCCTAAAGCTGGGTTGTTTCGATGTCGTATCCCTGGAGCTTATTACTTCTCCTTTACAGTCGGGAAGTACCCCAGGAAAAATTTGTCAGTCATGCTGATGAGAAACAAGAATGAGGTCCAAGCAATTGTATATGATGAACACCATCGTAAAGAACGGAAAGTGGCCAGCCAGAGTGCCATGTTGCAGTTGGACTATGGTGACACAGTCTGGTTGCGTTTACATGGAGATCCAAAATATGCCCTCTACAGCAATGTGGGCCCCTATACAACTTTCAATGGGTACCTTATCTACCCAGACATATCAAGCTATTTTCAAAACACTGTGGGCTCCCAGGAGGTAGGAAAACCATCAGGGCCTCCTCCTTCTCATGTCAATCAGCAATTTTCCATTAACCAGAATGAAATCTCAGAGAGGCACGTGCTTTCCGATCAGCCAAGCAGATCAGTGGATCCTCGCTCAGCCTTTTCTGCTGCCCGTTCTGAAAGCCTCCTTGGGTCAGATGAGAAGCAAACTCAGCATGAACCCATCACCTTTGACACAGAGTTTGTGAACATTGGAAAAGATTTCAATTTCTCAAGTGGCATCTTCACATGTCGTATTCCAGGTGCCTACTATTTCTCCTTCACTATTGGCAAGATGCCTTTCAAGACCATGTCAGTGAAACTGATGAAGAACCACAATGAGGTTCAAGCTATGATCTATGACGACAACCACTCCAAGAGGCGGGAGATGCAGAGCCAAAGCATTATGCTGCCTCTGCAGTATGGTGATACCGTCTGGCTGTACAGCCACCAGCATGATGGCTATGGTGCCTACAGCAACCATGGCAAGTACATTACCTTCACTGGGTTCCTTGTCTATCCTGAGACTAAGCCAAAACCACCTCCAGATGTCAACGAGTTTCTGGGGTCAAGGCTTTAAACAAAAATACAAAAAGAGCACAAGAAGTCAAGAGGCAGTGGACTTTAGTGCAGGTCATGGACAGAAGTCACCCATGACAATGTGAAGAGCATGCTTTTGTATGTCCATTGCATTCCTCATGCTGCACAACTGTGCCCTGCCTGCAGAGCCATTGTTGTTTTTCTCATTCATCTGTAGAATGACATTTGCAGGCTATATGTGTTTGGTTCATTATTGCTGTTCAATTTAAGCATAAAGCATGAGGTAGTTTGGGGAGTAGAAAAAAATGGGGTGGTGAAATGAGAAAGGGACAAAGGAATTGCTGCAGGTGTGCTGATATTGTAAAAGCATGTCCTCTCTACAAGGCTCTTGGGAATCAAGAACATTTTCTGCAAATCCAGACAAACATCCAGAGAGGAGGACTGATGTGGTCAAACAATGAACTCAGTAAATCTACAACACTTTGCTTGTACATGTGAGGTGGTGATTCTTAAGACCTTTCAATACATTGTGAAGTGTGCTATATGTTAGAGCTGTCGGTCATGTGAATAGCTAAGTAATCACCTGCCACTGAATCATTTACAAAGCATTGGCTAATTTAAATAAATGTGCAAATTGCCAAAATCTCAATATGATTATTACAAAAGTGTGAGTTAATAAACAAACACTATTCACTGTGTAAAAGGAAAGACGAGCTTCAATTCCCCCTATTAGTTATCTCTGTTAATGTATTAGAATAAAAATGCTAACTAAAGTATACATGTATATCTTTAAATGTCCCAGAAATTAAAATTGCTCTTGGAAAATTAATCAACTATTTTTAGTAAATTAATCTACCAATTAAAACTTGTGGTCTTTGTGTGTTTATATTTGTATGTGTGTACACAGTACAGTATGTTAGCTGCAGCACCACATGTGCAGACAATTGCAAAGGGCTTACCTGCCTTCAAAGCAAACAACCTCTTGCAGCTAATATCCTGTAACTACAGGGATGTGCTGTGGAATAATCAGTTTTGCACACTGTTTCTTCTTAGCCACTGTTTGTGTATATGCATATGTATGAGGTATGTATAGGGGGAATCCAACAACCCCTTGCAAAAGTGGAAACTATCCTTGAAATAACAAGATCTCTATTTAACTACAGTCCATTCTTTTTTTTCTTTTTCCCTAGGGTTGTGATACTCTATCATACATAGCTGCTAACATGCAGGTATATATAAAAATGAGAATAAGTGGTGGAATGTAAAAGTAAAAATAATATTTATTTGTTAAAATTATACAAGAACAAGTTTATGAACTCATGTTTTAAAATATAACACAGCCTTTAATTGTTTTCAGCACATTTCTGGTTAAATATATGCAATACCCTGTGTAGTTTTAGTCATATGTTTGTAAACAATATGAATTGATCCCATGCAGATATCTATCTAAAGGTACATTATTAACAAATTATTCAAAATTTCAACTCTGACAAGGATTTGATATCACATTCGGTATGGAAATGCTACTATTTTAGATTACAACTCCTAGAATCCCCCAGGACAATGGCCACACAGGGTGTGGGGGGGGGTTTCCTACAACTATTGTTAGAAAAGCAACTTTGGCTTATTGATTACTGTAGGGAGCATCTGTGTCTTTCATGTGCAGCCAAGCACATTGGCCTGCTCATGGGGTCTTCAATGATTAAATTTGCAGACAGCAAAACAGTCATTTTAAATTGCCCCTGCCTTCAGATGTACTGGGTGCTGAACAACACGGCACTAACCCTTGTCTGTCATAGTGGAATTTTCAGAGGAAATGCACAGCATACCAACAGTCCTAGATAGAAAAAATAGCAATAAATTCTTTAGTCTAGCTTCTTACCTTTGTGTGTGTGTGTGTGTGTCCTGTACTTAAAGTTGGGAGAACTCTTCACCAATGAGACAGCCATTTATTTAGCATGAACCATTTGAGACAACAACGGGCAACACACATCAAAAACTACTCAACTGATAACTGACCATTATCTTAAAAGCTTCCTACTGAGTAGACAGTTAAAACATTAGGGAACAGTTCTTGCAATTAGAAAGTCCTTCCTAATGTTTAACACATGTTGGGTTCAGGCAATGAGCAGGCTGATGGACTTTGTGGTGATCACCAGATAATAGGATAGTAAAGAGTCTCTTAGCAATAGGTTAAGGAAGTCAGCCCCACACACAGATGGATGTCTGCCAGCAGTACTCCTGGTGGGCGACTCATCAAGGAAGCAGAATGAGAAGACTTCTCCCTCCGTTTTCTCTCTCTCTCTCTCTCTCTCTCTTTCTCTCTGCCCCCAGGAGACTGCTCTTTTATTAACATTGCAAGGTCACAGGTAGTGACAGCATTACAGATAGTAAACAGGGTTCAGATAGGACAATGGTTACATCATGTTATTAGGGTTGGTCTGGGGAAAGGCAATTAATCAAGCCCTCTGATTGGCCTAAGGAAAGGCCTCTATGGCAAGCTCTCTATGATAATGAGCAAGAGGAGGAATGGTGGCAGCTCCTCCCCTCAGAAGCAGCCACAGGACGCTAGGAGAGTTTTCTCTACCCTACAACACCCATGTGGCTTAGCAACCTTGAGAATGACACCCCCACAAACACACATCTGATTCCTTGTCACTGTCACTTCCTGTTCAAAAAAAGTACCATATTCTCTTGACAATATCCACCGAGGGGCAGCAGGGGCATGGAGCCCCACTTTCACCTGAAATCCAACCACTCAGTATTTCCCAATGGGAAGTGTAAAGGACTATCTAACGACATGTCTTGTAACAGAGGTGGGCAAATGTGGCCTCCGAGATGTTTCGGGCTCCAGTAATTCCTTACCTTTAGCTATACTGGCTGAAATTGATCGCCAAAAAGGGAAAAGAAAGAATGAAAAGAAAACTCAAGAAGGCCAGAGTGGCCAATTTTTGTACCATAAAAAATACAGCGGCAAAAGTCCTGAAGTCTTTTTGGATTTGTATGACTAGGTCATAGTTCAAAGCCTAGGACCTAAGCCTTAAGAATTTAGTTAGTCATATAAATAAAAAAAGAAAGGGCTAGAACAGAGGTTGGTGACACTTTGGCACTTCAGATTTTTAGAATCCCCAACCTGTGTATTGCCAATGACACAGGGCTGTGGGAATTGTAGCCCATAACTTCTGGAGTGCCAAAGGTTCACTACACCTGAGTTAGGACATTCCTTAACATACTAGAGAAAATGGGACAAGAAGGATGATACTTCTGTGCAAAGCCTTAGATTATATGTTGATTTGCATAAATGAATTGTAGGACCAAAGTTGCCCTTTATGCCCAAGAGTCCCCTTGATCTCTATGGGTCATGGCCAGGCTGGACTGATAGAATTTCTTCAGTGCACTAATATAGACAGGCATTTCCTGCCAAGGTCTGGAGGCCAGGAGCTGAATTGAGTCCATCGACTCCTGAGGACAAAAGCTTTTGCAGACCTCACGGACGATTTCAATTACCAGCTGGGAGAAAAGGTTGATCCACAGATTCTTCTCCAGGCCGTGGTTGGCGCGAACCTGGTAAGCACAGTAGACAGTGGTGAAGATGAGCTGCTCAAATTCCTTTGGCGTTATCGGGATGTCTGACTGTGACAGATAATCCAGGTGTTCCTCAATCCCAGCTGGGTTTTTCGGAATATCACGCTGAAGGATCTGGAGTAATCGTTTGGCAGGACGCAAGGAGGCCAGTTCTTCATCCTGAATCTTGACAGTCTCATTGGCCATGATTTCAATCCCTCCCCAAAGTAACTGAAAAAGAATAAGTAGAAATACGCAAGTCAATGGGCAGTTTTCCCTATATTCAGGCTCCAAGTGGCCATCTTTAGGGATTGAGAATTCCTGTTCAGAGTAGGCTGGCTAGTGGCCAGGAGGATAGAATTTATCTTCTACTGTAGCATGTGCCTTGACTCATTTGTGTGAGTCATCCGGACTGTGTTCAGCTATCTCTGAAATGATTAAAACAACTCTTGCATACTGCTTCCTGTTATTGCTCTCTGCTTGCAGCACCCTATAGTCCATATGGTAACTGCCTGAAGAAAATTAATATTAATGAAAAGGAGGCGCAATGCCTTCCAATTTCTCTGCTTTCTCCACTACTGAATTGAAAAGGCACTAGATTACATAAATTCCACTCTGGCCCCATGCTTTGTATCCCCCACCGTGCACCAGCTCCTTGTCAACATTTTTCCTTTCCGGGATTTCATTGGCTACATCAGTGCCCAAGGATAAAGCTTGGACTGGCTCCCTTCTTAACCTCTGCAGTTTCCACCGTGTCTACTGTCAGCCTATGCTTAACTGCTGTATTGCAAGGATCATAGACAGCATGTGGTCCATGCAGAGACAGAAATGGTACGGTTCGTAGAACTGTAGCCACATCATTCCTGATCTTCGAAAGACTGCATTCGTGCATTCCTAGACAATTCAGACGCAAGTTATGCAAACTGAGAACATTAAGTGAAAAACACTATCTTATCAAAAGACTCTCCTCCCACTGGTGGGCTGAGATCTGAAAATGGATCATGCCTCAGTGAGGTGGATTATGTAACTACAACTATCACAGGTGTGGGGAGGAAAATGTGTGTTTAGGATATTTTAAAAGAGTGAGGATGTGTGGGAAGAATATAAGGACATAAACTAAAAATGAGTCCCAGTATGAAAGAATGAGGACTGCTGCCTTCAGAGACACCGTCTGCTTACCAAAAGTCAGCAGTACTTTTTTGGTCATCCACTAAGGAATGAGCCCTTTATCATCCAAACACCCATGATGAGCAATTTATTGTTATTTTACCCTCCACTTCCTAAAGGGGAGCTAGCAATACCTGTATTTGAATCTAAAGCGGAGTGCTAGTCAAAGGATGCCATCTGGTGACCTTCATTTGAAAAAGCAGACAAAAGTGTTTCAGGAATTCTAGTGATCCCAGGCTGAACTTCTCGTGTTTGAGATGAAGTAAAAGTGTAGCTAAGATCCTTAGTAATGAGGAGATTCTCTGAACAAAGCAGTGCAAAATACAGTGAGCTTTAAAAAAAAGATCTCAAAGAGGTAGGAAGACAACATAGTGCTTCTCCTCAGGGCCTTCCTGTCATTTCCCAGCTAGCATAGGGATTTTTACTGTTGCATCTCATGGTTTAATGATGGCATCTTAACATCTTTCCCGTGCATACTTCTCAATACTAGAGAAGAGGCAGAGGTGTTGTGCAGCAACATTAGTAATATGACAACTACAGTTCTATTGCCAGCAGCTTCATCACAGCAAAGCTTTAGAAGAGAATTCCAAAGCTGCACTTGCTTTAGGTACACAGGAAGCTGTCCATAATGCATCAGATTGCCAACAGTGGCAGTTGCTCTTCTAGAGTCTGAGGGTACAAAGAGATGGGTGTTTGTCCCACTGTTTGATCTCCTCTGGAGATGGGCTGATTCACTCCTTTTCGCAGAAACCACACTGATGTAAGCACTAGCACAAACCAGCCCATCCCCTTTTGGCCTCCCTATCAGGAGCTACTCTTTTTTAGGTGCCAGTAGGATCGCCCCATTTTGGTTTGTGTAATCCCCGGAGCAAAGCAAACCAGATGGCTTGCTTTCAGTTTCCCAATAGACAGGTTAAACCACTTAACATTGGGAATTTGAAAACGATATTGAAAAACTGAAAATTGCCTCTGCTCCTCTGTGAACAGGGAGAAAGAGGAAGCAAAGGTTGTTATTGCTGTTTTAAAGCCAGTTAGGGCAATGCTGGTGTGCTATACCTGTGGGGGGGGGAATTAAAGCTTCCTCCCAGAAAAAGGAGCAGACAGGAAAGGACAAGGAGGGTTTTTTGTTTGTTTGTTTGTTTGTTTGTTTTCTTTCTTTCTTTTTCTCCCCCTTTAAAGGGAGATGGGCCAAATAGGGTTGATTGAGGAGTACATATTGTGATTTCCTAACCCAATTCCTGTGGATGCAAGGATTGCACCAAATGGCATATTACACCTCATGGATGCCCGAAGCAGCCCTATTTAGCCTAATCCAGCCTGCTCCAATATGGTCATCTAGCCAACCCCTTAGGCAGGATTCTTTTCAAGCCCTCCCTGTAGATGGAATCTGATACTTTTGCACGTAACAAAGCATGTGTCCTACCACAGAGCTACCACTAACATCTCCCTCTGAAAAAAAGGAGCCATTGCTTCTATCCAGCAAGACTGGTTTCCCAGATGTTGAACTGAATGAAGTGGTACACAAGCCATCCCACAAACAAACCCCTGCACAAGAACATTAAGTCACAAGTCTAAAATTACTTGATTACATCACCATTTCTTCCCAGCCCAGTAAAATGTCCCATTTGGGAACAGCTACAGGTCCAGCAGCTAGAGCTATAACTGTACCTGCAGTGTAGATTGTGGAAGTGGCACATCCGTAAGTTGGGAAGGGGCTTGTAAAGGGTAAAACCAGGCTGAAAAGGGGAACTGCTTAACCCTCAGTTACCTCTAATAAGATGTTTGTATTCTCTCCACTACCTGTATCTGCAAGATCCTTGAGATGAAGTTGCTCATCTGGAAAACAACGGTAATAGGAAATAATGAGTATTTCTGAAAGAAAGAAAGAAAGAAAGAAAGAAAGAAAGAAAGAAAGAAAGAAAGAAAGAAAGAAAGAAAGAAAGAAAGAAAGAAAGAAAAAGAAAGCAAACAAGCACTTGACCCCACCTGCTTCATGTACGTAACTGTATTGGTTTTCTTTTTATTGTTTGAGGATTTGGAGTGGCGATCTCTTTTAGAAATTAAGCAAGGATAAGGGGAATCAAGAGTGATGTTATTTGTTAATAATACTGGTACAATCCTTGAAGATTAAAAATCTGCAGAGATAATAATGTATTTTTTCCTTTTGCTTCAAAATCTCATTACTGTATGCATTCTGGCTGCCTCAGCTCGTATACAAATGAAAGACATGAAGGGACACTACTGTACTGACAGCACAACAACTTTGTTCAAGAATGGAAGCGTCTTTCCACTGCTCAGTGCTGCAACATCATAACCCTCACAGCCGTTCACTCAAGACCTGCTTCAGATGCTGCCGTAGTGGCTGCAGCCTGGATTATTTGGATCTGACCTTGTTTTTGAGGCAAGGCAGACTAGACAGAGCTGATGGGGTAACTGGAGAAACAATTTATCAATATTCTATCCAAAAGACTATAGCTGCTTGCAAGAGAGAAAGCCTCTCTTAAAGTCAAAACACCTCTCTCCTCCGGTTTCATTTTGTTGTATATTAACCTCAGGTATTACTTGGTGGTCTCCTGTCCAAGTATTAACCAGGTCCAACATTGCAAAGCATCTGAAATTAGATGAGACCATGTTTTCACTGTGTTCTAGTTTCAATTTGGTGTATTCAGCATTAACAGTTTCTCTAGTCATATGAAACTTAACACATATTTAGTTGCTTCTGTGATTAATTTTCTTCCTCTGATTTTCAATCTTGCAACTCCAGTGCTCAGATAATTCACTTAATGTAAATATCTTGTTTGTTTCACATTGTTTTATCTCTAGCTTGCTTGAGAGTTGTATCTGATTTCCCCCTACTTCACTGAGAATTGTAGGGGGCAGGACATACAAAAACAGGACCAAAAAAATGTCACGAGTTGTATCTGATTTCCCCCTACTTCACTTAGAATGGTAGGGGGCAGGACATATTCTGCAAAACAGGACCAAAAAAATGTGACAGAGAGAGAGAGAGAGGGAGAGGGAGGGAGAGAGAGAGAGATGTGAATGGACTGCAGTTTCCATTACCAATTATCTATGGCTGTGCTGGCCAAGGTTGATAGGAAATGCAGTCCAACATCTGGAGGGCTACATGTTCCCCATCACTGGTGCAAGAGAAGCTTCATCTTTGTACCAATATATTGCATGCCGATGCACACAGGCATAGGTTAGGAGCTGATCACTGGCAATTCTTAAGTTAAATATGGCACGGAATGAATTTTTGTAGTAATGGAGTTTAAGATGAATCATAATCACCATTATCATCTCAGAACTGCATAGCTGGAAGCAGTCCAGCTCATCAAGTCCAGCCTGTGTCACTGAGGCACAGTGGGGAATCAAACTCAAGGAGGCTGGCTCTGCAGCCAGATACCCAAACCACCAATATTGGTTCAAAGGTTCAAAGGAAATCCACAGCAGCAGTGTTAAAAAGCCAGAGTAGAGATCATGCTGGCTGGAGGAGTTTTGTTAAAATCTACTTTAGGGGCTATTAGGTTAGGTGAACAGGTGGCTGTATTATTCTGCAGCACTTCTTCCTGTAGCCAGAGCTCCCAGCTTTCCTTCCGAGAGTCATTCTCCCTAAGGAAGATGAGAAAAGCACACAAAGGTTCCTCAGAGAGTGAAACTATGCATATTTGCTGAAGGAAAGCTGGGTCTCCACCCAGGCCACAGGATCTTCGATGAAAGCCAGATGACTCGGCTTTCAGAACAAGCCTGGTTTGCAGCTGTATTTTTTCTCCCCCCTCCCCCTTAACCCAGAGTCCAGGAAGTCTTTCAAACCAAAATATAAATACATATGTGTTTTAATTAAATTGGAAATAAATAATTGCATGGGAAGCGGAGTCACTTTGGACAGCTTTGTAAGTATTTAGACACCAATTTTAAAACATTATAATTTATTGCTTACATACATACATCAGATTAGGCATCCTTCCGTCTCAAGAGACTATGGTAACATACATAGATACATACATGCATGCATGCATACATACATACATTTGAACTAAGTCAATTGAAAATGGTTGGAGTTGGGTGCCAACACTTTAAAGTAGATGTGGAAGATCTCAATGAGGCCATATATATAATTACTTATTTATATTTAATAGAGTAGTTATGTACTATAAACTTCTCTATAGTGGAGTTGTTGCTAAAATGGTGTAAATTTTTAAATTTAGGGTTTTTAACGGGGAAGAACTCAAAAGCCAGTGCTGCATCCTAATTGTATTGTGTTTTTTCTTAAACTGTGAAGGCACAGAAATGCTGGGGCCCCTCAAACATGGCACAATTGCCACCATCTTTCCTAGAGGACTTTTTTTGTGGTGGTGGGGGAATTGTTTCCAAAACAATGTTTACAATTGGGGAGGGCTTGAGAGGGAGCACAAAGTGGCCACATTCAGCCCCCAGGCCACGTGCTGCTCACCCCTGCTTTAAAGCCATCTCTCCCACACACATGAAATGTCTTCCTTCAGAGGCATGGCTTCCCCTGTGATTTGCATCTCCACCTGGGAAACCAGAAAAAAGCATAGGAACTCTCTGTGATTTCAGCCAATACTTTGAAACCTAGCAACCCTGTTCTGTAGTTTTTCTGAGAAAGAATGTGAGAAGCATTAGAAGTGATGCACTTTATATGGTTTATAAAAGAGACTTTAGCAAGATTTAGGTTCACTTGTTCATCAAGGGTTGCTGTCTCTCTTTTGGGGGCTCAGCAGAAGCAACATGCTACTAATAGCTGCAGAAAAAGCAGAGATTCAACAGAGGCAGGATTTTCCTCCACCATTAGATTTCCAAGTTGGCAAAATTTGATGCAAATGGCTCGTTCTCTCCCTCAAAAAAAATTATCGTTGCCAAATGCAAATATTGTTCTCTTCTTTGCATGCTTTAAGGTTTCAAGAGTTCTGCTCTGCTATGCTGGTGAATGCAGACACTCTGTATCCTCCAGTAGTGTAAAAGGTGGCAATAAAGTTTGGAAAAACTTACTTTTTTTGGAGTACAAAACACTTGGACATCCCAGAAGGCCTAGCTGATGATAGAAAGTGGCCATGCTGGCTAGAGGCACATGGGACCTATGATCCAAAGAGTAACTTTTCCACATTCTGGAATACCATGCACTTCTTAGTTACTTCCCATCAATTCAATTGCTAAATGCACCACAAACTTTTTTCTGATTAATCCAATAGCTTTTGTCTTAGATGAAGCATTCATGAAAAAACTTTACTGACACTTAAGCAAAATTTTAAAGAAAAAAGTAACCACAGGCAGCCCTGCCAGCTTGGCCACTTTGTATTATTAATTGTAGGACGATCCTGGCATGGGTGGAAAAGCAGTTTGAATGCATTTCCTACCTGTTTGTCTCCGGGATCCAGCGCAGACACAGAGAGCCAGAGCTGTCCATAGGCCGATTCCAAAGTGCAGCTGGAAAATCTGGGCCATGCTGAGTATAAAGCTTGTCCCTTTCTCAGATGCACTTTGAATTAAATTAATGTTGTTTACTGCGGCTTCTTTTTTCTCCCTCTCTCTTTTCAATCCCAGAAGCCTCTGCTGGAATATTTTCTTCCCTTCAGATTCCAGCCCTGGGAAGGGCTTGCAGTTAAATTCCTAGTTCCTGAAAGGTAGTTTCCAGCATCACGAAGAGAAAACATATATCTGTCTCTCAAAGGTTACAGCTCAGATTCTCAAAAAACTCTGCCAACATGAGTCTCATTTATTTCCACTTGGAGCATCAGGCTGTTGGCAGACCATGTTAAGGCTTTCTGATTTATTTTCCCCACAAATGTCAGCTAGTTTTATTGTTCTTCAGAGGGAAGAATGTGCTTTTAATAGCCAAGGATTTGTGCTGAAAATCTGAAATGTGCATAGCCATAAACAAGTCTTTCTGAAAAAAGTCAGTTGATGCTACCTGCATGAAACATGCTGCAGTTCTTCAACTCACTTTGCTTTCAGTGGTTTGTTTTTTTAAAATTTGCTTTCTTGCACTGGAATATAAGAGCCGCTTTTACATACCACAGCAGGGTGGAGCTGACAAATTCATACAGACTTCTAAGCATCCAAAACACATTAATTGGAGCAAAGAAAGGCCACTTCTTCAGTTCCACTGCTGTAGTCCCAGAAAGGGGTGGTTAATTACCTTTCAGATGAAATACCTCCCTCTCCCCTCCAATTCCACTAACTTTCTATCATCCAGCTACCTCCCTATTGGGGGACTACCTTTAAGAAGTTTTACATCGTTTTTGAAAATTGGGTATGGGCAGAATCATGCATAGGCATCCTTCAGTCTCGAGAGACTATGGTAACATGCTCTGAATCGAGGAGTGTCCTCTCCAGAGCATGAAGCCCGGGTAAGGTAATATGGAGGATAGGCTGTTACCCAAGCAGCAGATCCCCCCTCTCCACATTGCTGAAATGGTCCAATGGAAAGGCAAGAGCCAATACAACTGGTTCCAGCAATGTCGCAGGAGTTGGCAGAACGACACATGCTGCCTTCGGGACTCCAGCTCCGGATTTTGTCTCGAGGTTAACTCCTGAAGCCTTTTCCATGAGTGGATATAGCCACAAGGCAGTGGAGGTTTGAAATCAGAGTTTTCCTTCTCCTAGATGGGCTGTCTTCCATGGCTGACGAGCCCCACCTACCCGGCCTGCTCTTTAATAGAATCAACTGTACAGGAATTCACATCGTTTTATGCCCGTCCCCTACAAATTTAAACAAAACAGCGGAAGCTGCCTTATTCGGAGTCAGGCCAATGGCCTACCTAGGCCAGTACTGTCATCCCTGACTGGCAACAGCTGTCTGAGGCTTCAGGCAGGAATCTTCCTGCTCATCCTGGTAACTTCAGGTGTTACTTGGTGGTTTCCCATCCATGTACTAATGTGGCCCAACATAGCAGAGCTTTTGAAATCAGAAGAAATAAGTGTTTTAACATCAGTACATAAGCACTATAATTCTTAAGTTCCAAAGAACGTGAAGGACTAATGGTGCCTCTTGGGGCTTGGTAGTGACCAGTCTGAATGAAGTCTGTCAACAGTATGTTCACATCCTTTGCTCCATCAAAATGTGGGGAATCAGACTTCCGGCTTGATGCTGTGACGAGACAGCAGGAGGAGGATGGAGCTCCGTCCCCTGGGTTGAATTCTGACCTGTTTGGGACCTCCCCAGGGAGTTAAAACCAGCCCAAAGAGGTAGTGAAATAGGGAAGATGCCTGTTGATCATGGGGGATGTGTTTACCCCCAATCAACCAGTGGGCGGAAGCAAGCAGCTGAATAGCTTGCTTGCAAGTCGTCAGCAGCTGGCAATAGAGAAACAATAAATCAGCTAATTGTCATTGTTGTTACTACAGGGTGAGAAATATTTTAAAACTACAATGCTTTATGACTATCCCGGATGAAACAATCCCTATAAAAGAAATAGCATCTTCTATCTCCATCACTCACAGAGCAGCGATGAATCTTGAGATGGGCCCATCTCACAGCCATAAATACTTCAGTCCCAAGCCAACTACACCAGAGCACAGAGTGCTGTCCTCTGAAGATGCTGGCCACAGAGACTGGTGAAATGTTAGGAAGAACAACCTTCAGAACACAGCCAAAGAGCCCTAAAAACCCACAACAACCATTAGATCCCGGCTGTGAAAGCCTTCACGAATACAAAAAAAATGATGTCTTTGAGAGAGAGAGAGAGAGAGAGAGAAGAGAGAGAGAGAGAGAGAAATGTTTCCTCTTCAAGAGTTACAGATATTTTTACCCCATTGTTGGAAAATATTTGGGAACAGTCATCCAGCCAGCTCTCCCAGAGACAATGCTCACACCATTTGTGACTGATCAGCTCCCAGCTCTGCATTGGGCTTGGCATCACTTCTGTTGTCGCTCAGAAATCGGCCAAGCTACTGCAGCTTTCTAACCAATGCTCATTGAAAGAAAGCAAAACACAACCATCTGGATTCCAGAAACTATTCTGCACTCCAACTCTGGAGAAGGGATGACTTTCCATACAGTATTTGATGTTAAATGAAATCCATTGCTTGCAGCACTCTTCGACTACCAGCTTTGATTCTATCCTGTATTTAGCTTTAGAGTTTCACCCCCAGCTTCTGAGTCCCATTGCTGAACAACATTAAACTTACTCTCACTCACAGCATGGTCAATGGTAATATAATCCAGAATATATGGAAGACATAAAAAGCAGAGAGAGAGAGAAACCTAATCTTCTGCTTATGTACCACCCCATAGCACTTAAAGCACTCTCTGGGCCTTTTACAATTACTGTATGCAGGCTACACATTGCCACCTCCACCCCCAGTGACCTGGGTACTCATTTTACCAACCTCAGAAAGATGGAAGGCTGAGTGAACCTTAAGCCAGCTACAGTACCTGGAATTGAACCCCAAGTCACGAGCACTGTTTTGGCTGCAGTACTGCTGTTTAACCACTGTGCCACAAGGCGTAAAAACGCACAAGACCCTCACTCCTTGCACATCGATTTATTAGCAATCTATGGGTAACCAGAAGACCTATTCCACAACACCTCTCATTGCAAACCTTCAAGCAGCGTAGCCTTCTTTATGGCCATGCTGCTGACTGAATAACAGAGCCGTGTGCTTTTGAGCACCTCACTGCTACATAGAGTCAAAATCACATGTGAATTACTTTGTGGTTTGCTTCGTCTTTAAATAGCACACAGGCATTGATGTAGGACAGGAATTATGACAGCCAGTGTTGATAAGGTAGCTGTATCCTGTTTCAAGACACATACACAGATGCACAGCTTTAAAATGATGTTTGTTTGTTTGAATGATACGATTTGTATCCCACCTTTCTCCAAGAAAACAGGGCCCAGGCAGGCTTGCAGTATAATTAAAAACAAATACAGCTTTTTAAAAAAATACAGTACAAATATTAAAACGCTATTGAATCAATTCTCATGTCAAAACAGAATGCAGATTTTGAAGTTTTAAAGTTTCTGTTAAAATAAGCACAACGATTAAAAAGTGTAGCTCATCCTTAAAAACTTGTATTCAGCTATCAGTTTGTTGCCAAAGGCCTGACAACAAGAAGGTTCTTTGGTGTGTTAAAAGGAGGACCTGTGGGAGGTGGCCAACATGGCCTCCCTCAACTAAAAGTTTGAAAGTCTGGGAGTAGCAGCAGAGAAGGCCACTTCTTACAACCTCACCAAATGAAGCTTTGAAGATGGTGGGACTGAGGGAAGGGCCTCTACTTTAGATCTCAAAGCCCAGGCAGGCTTGTGTAGGAGAACACAATCCCTCAAATAGCCTGGACCCAAGCCATAGAAGGCTTTCAAGGCCATAACTAGTGATGGGGTACCTATTCGTATTCAAATACGAATATCCCTGCACAACTGGACTTCACGAGGGGCTGGCCCCTGCAGCCGGCCCATCCACTCACATGTCCACCAATGGTGTAAGCCCCGCTCATCCTTCCAATAGCTCCCCGAGCTACGCTCTCTTCCTGCTTGCCTGTCCACTCTAGGCAGTGGGAGGGAGGATGGACCTCCCTGCCTGGCTGTTGAGTCGCTAGCCGAGCAGGAAGAGAGCGGCGCTCCAGGAGCAACTGGAAGGATGAATGAGGCCGCCATCGCTGCCAGACGTGTGAGTGGACAGGTCAGCTGCAGAGGCCAGCCCCTCGTTAAGTCCAACTGCGCAGAGATATTGGTATATGAACACCCCCATCTCTAGTCATAACCGCTACTTTGAATTTTCCCCAGAACCAGACTGGTAGCTAGTGAACATGTCATTAACAAGTTATGTTTTCTTTAGGACTGGAGCCAGTGAGCAGTCTGGCTGTAGCTTTTTGGACCAGCTGGAGGTTCTGAAAGGGTAGCCCAAGTACAGTGTATATAGCAGTCCAAATGGAATGCAACTAAGAATGTGTCACTGTGTCCTGATTAGACAATTCCAGGAGCATGCACAGCTGTGCACTAGTTTTAAATGTACAAACGCACCCCCTGTCCTCCACCAAAACCTGGGAATCTAAACTCGGTGCTGAATTCAGGAGCATTCCTAGTAGTTCAGACCTATCCAGATCAGCCTGAATCTCAGTTCTCTCAGCCATGCAAGTTTGCTTTTTTTGAGTCTGTATTTCCCTTTTTTTGAGTCTGTATTTCCCCATATTGGTTATATACTTTGCTGTAAATCCTTGGTATGTTTTAATACTTTGGTGTTCAATAAAAATCCTCTCGTGAATACTTCTGTGTATGATATATTCAGCCCCATCTGTGTCAAGACATACTACAGTATGGCCATGGGTCAAAAATCTCTTATAGTTGTGTCTCTGAACATGTGTAAGTTCATACATGTGCTCTGAGAAAATAACCGGTAGCACAATAACTAACTTATCTCCACGCTGGGGTGGGGGCCATTTAGCCACAATCATGTCCACCATCCTGGCCCCGAGGCTGACTGGCTTCAACAGAATCATCCACCAAGGCAACAAGAAGCTGCCCAAGAGCTGTTAGGAAACTATCTGGGCCCCTTCAGTCTCTTGAGGTGGGCTTAGTTAGCCATCCAGGCAAAATTCAAAGTACTAATTTTAACCTATAAATGGCTTAGGTCCAACATCTTAATGACTGTATTTCCCATGTTAGACCAGTTCAGGTGTTGAGGTCATCAGGAGAGGCCTTTCTCTTGGTCCCACCACCTTCATAGATCTGTCTAACGGGGACACAGGAGAGGGCCTTTTCTATTGCTGCTCCCAGACTTTGAAACTCTTTCCCACAAGAAGCCAGACTGGCCCCGTTTTTGCTGTCCTTCCGCAAGCAGGCAAAGACTTTTCTCTTCAGGCAAGCCTACCCTCAGTGACTGGCTACCCGGGTGTGATTTATAGATGGATTGTTATGCATTATTGCTTTGGCTGTGATTTCTGTACTCAAGTTTTCCATTTCTTGGAGTGGTATTTGTTTATTACTTTTTAATATTTGTATGCTTCTTGTTTTTAGCTGCAATACCTTCTAGTGATGTAAGCTGCCTTTTTATACTTATTGCTCTTAGCTTTAAATATTGTTTTTTAATGATGCAAACCACCATGGTATATTCATTGTTTCAGCTTTAAATCTTGTCTTTCAATGTTGTACGTCACATTGGGTCTTTTTTAAAGGAGAAAAGCGGGGTAAAAATATTTTAAATAAATAAATAATTTTTTGCAGAGTCCCAATGACATGAAATCCCACCATTGTCCCTGACAATGGAACTACAGAGAGCTCTTTTGTACCCTGGTCACCCTCATTCTGCCTGGCACAAAAAACCTAAAACATAAAAGAAAAAGAAAGAAAACAACAAAACCAGAATGCAGCCTGTCGTAAGTGGGGCCAGAAACCAACCATGGTCATCATGGAGGACATGAAGCTGGGAATCCCTTTGATTTATTTTTTAAGAACACAAAACTATAGTCACAGTTTTCTTCCTGCAAAGAGTATTGTATGATTTTATCATGGAACATTTACCAAAAAAAGAGCAAGGCTTGAATACTGGCACCTGAGCAGCCTGTGGGGTGTTGAATGTATATATTTATGTACAATAAATGGTGAAAAACCATGGAAGACTTCCTTCCCAGACATTATCCTTGAAGCTTTCCCAGTTTTTCTTCTGAACAGAAGCTGAGTTTATCGCTTTTACAGTGCTTATTTTAGCTAATTCATTTTTCTTCTTCCTCCTTTGTACACCATTAGCTTGAATACTCAGGGTTTCGGACAATGTCAATTATTTAGTTGCACTGAGAAAAATCAGGTAGAGATTAATTTTGCCTTATGACTGCTTTACCACCAATCAGAAAGCTGCATTTTCTATACAAAAAAGACAGAAGAAGACACGTCATGTTTTTATTTATATAGAATATACATAAATACTCAGATCAAAGAGGAATTTTTCAGTCTCCCAGCCACTATTTTGCATCTCCTTTCTTTTCTCCTGCTTCTATCTTCTTTTCTCCTGTTTCTATCTTCAGTGTTTCTGGAATCTGACGATAAGCAGGGAAAGTCTCCCAGGGACTATTTAGGTCAAATTTACGGAACTCCTGAGCCAGCTCCACAGGTTCAGCCACGACCCGTTTCACCTCATCATCATATCTGACCTGAAGGAGGGCAAAGGACATTCAAATCAATAAAAACTATGTGGGATGACTATGACATATGGAATATGGAATTCTAGAAATAGGGCTGTGTAGAGTTTCCCAATTTGGTTAAGAAACCAGTTTGGCAATTCAGTATGGATCTCAATTCGATCCAAGCCAACCATCTGATTCACTCCCAATCAAGGATTTAAATCATTTCAGAAATTTGGATCATCAGCACTCCCACTTATGTGCACTGGAAAAACAAAGTGGCGATGATGATGATGATGACGATTTAGTACAGTGGTGCCTCGCAAGACGAAAATAATTCATTCCTTGAGATCTGCTGTCTTCTAAAAATTTTGTCTTGCGAGGCGAGTTTTCCATAGGAATGCACTGAAATTTAATTAATGCGTTCCTATGGGATTTTTTTTAAAAGTAACTTACCAGGTAGAGAGCTGGGGAAGCACCATTGGAGGACTGGTGGGGGTCCCCCGCAACCACGATCGTCACTTTCAGAGGTCCCCGGCAGTCCTCTGATGGAGCGGGCAAGCCTCTGAAGACTTCCCCAGCACCATTTTTGAACTTCCCGGCCTTTTCCCTGCCTTCTTCCGCTGGGCTCCGATGGTGCTCAGCAAGCCTCCAAACGGAAAAAGGCAGGGGAAAAGGGCGGGAAGTTCAAAAATGGTGCTGGGGAAGCCTTGCCCAGCACCATCAGAGGACTGCCGGGGGGTCTCTGAAAGCAGCAATCGTGGTTGCAGGGAACCCCCGCCAGTCCTCTGATGGTGCTTTCCCAGCTCCCTACCTGGTAAGTGACTTTTTTTTTTAAAAAAAAAATTCCCATCGGAACGCATTAATTAAATTTCAATGCATTCCTATGGAAAAGCATACCTCGCAAGATGAAAATATTTTCGTCTTGCGGAGCACCAAAAAACTCGTAAGACGTTTTCGTTGGCCAAGGCATTCATCTTGCGAGGTACCACTGTACTCTAATGTCCCTTATGTTTGAAGAAGAGTTCTGCATTTCATAGTTGTGCAATAGGATTTTTACAAAGAATTTTTTTACTGCATTTTATACTCCAGATTGTTCATACAGCTGTAGTTAAACCCTGAATATGGAGAAGCCCCATCCTTACAAAGGACATCAAACTTGCTGGCAGAATAACAAACCTCAGCTGGAGGACAGGTTAACCCTTTCCTGCCTATTCATCCATCTCTATACTAAAATATAATTTCACAGCAAGCAGTTTTACATGCTGCAGAATAAAATGCAGCTTTGTTATGGCTGTAGCATTTCCATATGCAAAACTATGAAAGGAGTCTTCATACCTCCACATATCCAGAAAGAGGGAAATCCTTCCGGAAGGGGTGACCCTCAAACCCGTAGTCTGTCAGGATTCGCCTCAGATCGGGGTGGTTAGCAAAGAAGACTCCAAACATGTCCCACATCTAAATGTATAGGAAACAAACAGATAGATGGTTAAACATATTTGCTAAAATCCTGTTGATATTTCTCATGCATGTAAGGGTAACTGAGCAGCATCTTTTCCCTTCTGGCAAGCACCAGTCACATGTTCAACTCTGCAACAAGGTCAAGAACAGACATATAAAGTTGAGCCTGCAAGGGGGCGGGATCAGGATGCTTATACAATAGCCTTTGCATAATGTCATAAGCAAACAGAATTCTGGCCATTGATTTCAAATACTACTGTAATACTCCAGCAGATCTCCCTGATTCCTATGATCTTACAGACATGAAGACTTAAAGCATTAACTGCTGGAGGAAAAGTGGAGGCAGCTGAAAGGCAAGTAAGCATGTTGCACCCAACTCATAAGTAGTGGAGATTTAGAAGGGTATCAACAACATTTCTGAAGTTATCTTCTCCAGCAGGAGCAGTACCATGCCACTCTCTGCATAATAAAACATTGTTGGGATTTTAATTAAGAAACTAAAATCAGAGATGGGCAAAGGGTGGATTGCCTGCAGCCTCCCTGTGGTATTTTGAGGCCCCACCCCAAAGAAAAAAAGAGTCAAAGATTAAAAAAAAATAACAAGGTGATTCTGTTTTCCCATTGTGACCCTTGAGAAGGTGTCTGGAGGCTATTCACACACACCAGATTTTAAAAAAAGATGTTGTACTCCCTGCTCCAAAAGGGAAAAACAGCCATTTTCATGGTCCATACTGTGCACAGAAAGGCTGGGGAAAAAAAACGTCCCCTGAGCTTGCCCGCCCCAACCTATAGGATGAGGGTGATGTCACACCCAGGACACAGCTCAGTGCTTCAACAGCAGAATCTCTAAAAGCACTAGATCAAAGCCCTTTCCAAACCAAAGAATTCTGACATTACCATTTCCCAGTCTCCAAGTTTATTAACTTCCTTTGATGAAAGCAGATGCAAACTGGTAGGATATATAGGCTATTCAGCAAGATGGAAATTGGATAATGTTTCATTTTTTACAAAGAAGAGCTCTTTGTAACTTGAAAATTAAAGAGAGCTTGGAAACATGTGTCATGCCTGCCTATCACATGCTTCTCAGGCTCTCTTTCTACTCCAAATCACATGTATTAATTCTGGACGTTAGCTGAAAAAACAAGGGGTTTAATGTGGCTCTGGAACATGTTCCCATATGGCTTGCAAGACAGCTTGCAAGATGGGGAATTTGACTCCTGGCTTGAGTCAGCCAGCTCTTCTTTCATTTACCTTCTTATTTCCTTTACCAGTTGTGATAGTAATGCATCTTTCTTAAAGTGAGAAAGGGCACACTAGGAATCCACTTCTTTATTCAGTCAGAACTGAGAATTTATTTCAAAAAATGCAAGCAGCATTTAGGGAAGGAGATCCACAAATTAAGTACCAGTGACCTGTCATGTATATTTCTGGCAATAAGGAAACTTGGGAAGGAAGAGCAATGGCCAATTCAAAAGAGGTTCACAAGTCTCCTCTAGGCTGCAAGAACGAAAATGCAACCACAGAATGCTACAAAAGAAAACTGTTGATGCTGCCAGGACCTTTAAGATGACACCGGCTCCAGTGATTTGGCCAAATGTCAAATGCAATAATGGGTTCTCTCATTCATTTCTGAAAAGAAACTGACTGCATTCCCATTTCTCAAATGTCAGCATTCCCAATGCTTACCTCTCTTTCATACCAATTTGCTGCTTGGTGCACTGAGACAGCTGAATCAATTGGTGTCAATTCATCAGTGTATGTTTTCAAACGAATCCGGGAGTTGTAGTGTAGAGACAGGAGGTTGTACACAATCTAGATGGGAAAAGAAAAGCATCCATGTCACACTGTGGTGCAGATGTCAGCACTGCAAAGCAGGAGGGAAAGGTATTCAGGTGACTTCCAGCACGATCTTGGTGCACTGAGACAGCTGAATCAATTGGTGTCAATTCATCAGTGTATGTTTTCAAACGAATCCGGGAGTTGTAGTGTAGAGACAGGAGGTTGTACACAATCTAGATGGGAAAAGAAAAGCATCCATGTCACACTGTGGTGCAGATGTCAGCACTGCAAAGCAGGAGGGAAAGGTATTCAGATGACTTCCAGCACGATCACAGTACAGCTGCTTTTTGAGACACAACAAGGTTTTTCAAGTTTCTCACTTGCCAAATCAACCAAACGTGGAAGGCATTGGAGAAACAAACTGGGCCAATAAACAGAGGCTAATGAAACAAGTATTATACATTAAGGTGAATATGGGTTCAGATATGAAACTCTTCTTCAAGAGTGACTTTAATAAAGAAATAAAATATAACACACTTCAATGTGTCCCTATTCAGAAGTAGATACTGTACACTCACGGTGTCAGTAGGAGCTATCAGTAAGAGTATCACTACAGATACTCTGAACCGAAGAGTTAAGGCAACTGGAAACCACCAGCATTACACATGACTGCATGTGTAGATCTTTGTATGCAATATATTAATACAAATTAAGGACTAAATGGAACAGTTAGTTTCAGCTACAGCTGAATGAAAGAAGCTTGATTATGTATTGACTCACAAAAGTCCCACTGACTCAAAGGGTCTTCTTTAGTTGGAGCTAACAATGGGATTTTGCCCTAAATCACAAGTGTCTTGCTCCTAAGCAGTAGTTACAAATAGGGTTGCAGAATGGCTAATCTATATTGAGCAATGGAGAGATAGAAAGGCACTGCAGAGCTCGCAGCAATGGCGGAATCGTGAGGGGCCAGACTGTCGTTATTTGCACATGTGGGGGGATATTCGTATACAAATACGAATACCCCCATCTCTAGATATACCACCTTGAATTAAGCATATATTGCCAGTAGGATATAGGATCACACCAATTAGACATAAATAAAACCACTTTAAGCCAAACACAAATTTTGATTGCTATAACTGGGGTGTTCTATTAGGATATTTATGCTAGTATGAATACCTTAATTTGGCAGAAAGAAAGAAAGAAAGAAAGAAAGAAAGAAAGAAAGAAAGAAAGAAAGAAAGAAAGAAAGAAAGAAAGAAAGAAAGAAAGAAAGAAAGAAAGAAAGGCAAGCAGGCAGGCAGGCAGGCAGGCAGGCGAAACATAATTCAGTTGGATGGAAAGGATTGTTGGCTGCATCTAAAATGGTCAGCTAGAGGCGAAACACAAATTACCGGTACATGGTGTCAAACCAAGTATCTTCAGAAATAGCTGCTCTCAGCTCTTTGTGACTCAAATCTATCAGTGTTCCCCAAGACAAGTCCTGATGATCCAGAAGACTTTTTTCAAGCAACAGCACTTTTGCATTAAACCAATTATCACTAACATCACACTGTGACAGAGATAAGAACAACCTTTTCCAGATCAGTGGCTACACAGAAAAAAATGACAAGAAAGCATGCTTGTCACTACCGCAGAAAGGTGTTTAGATGTAGAAGCTGGTAGTGAGCAAAATGAAGCCTCAGCAGGAGAAAATGCTGTTGGGTAACCTCATATTTATTTTTAGCTATGTTATAAGAGGACCAGCTTTTTAAACTTAGAATCCTCCTTGCAATACATATTGAAAAACTGCTCCTACCTCAAAGCGGTTCTGTCGAGATGGTACATCAACTGCTGTTACATCAACTAAGGACTTGAACTGGGCATTGGTGTGATCTTTTAGAAAGCTCAGGACTGGAATGATCCCATCTGGATGAATTAAGATTTCTAGCTCATTGAGAAATGTCACCTAGCAGAAAGAAAAACAGTAATAGGTTCAAAGGATCATGAAAAACTAGCAATTGCGATCCTAAAAAACTTTAAGTCCCACTTAAATCAACAGTATGATTTCCATGTAAAATTCAAGCCAATAAATCTCAGGCTGTGTATTCCTGCTCCTTGTCGCACTGGCAGTCTTCCAAAAGAGGACTGGTACAACTTCAAGGCAGAATGATGCTGTTGGTAGAACCCACCTGGACTTGTTGAACATACTTTGGCAGAATCTCAGCCACATATTCTCCAAAAGCACACAGGTGTTTCCGTGTTATTTCATCCTTTGGTCTAACAGTGGCTGCAAATAAATAAGTTCACAACAGTACGTTTCCAGAAGAACAGCATCAGTATGTAACAAAACCAAAATCAATACCATTAGCACAGGGATGAGAGTCAGCAACAGCTTTATATATGACCCTGCTAATAATTGTCCGCCCTTTCCACATTCATTTCCCATTAACCTCAGTGGTCCCAGCACCCAACAATCTAGTGTAGATTATTAGAATGTTGCTCACACATGGACAGGTAAACACTAGAGGCAATGACTTCCCTATATGATTGTACATTCCTACTTAAATTTCATGCATCTAACAAAGTGTATTTCAGTCCATGAAAGCAACCTACTTGTTATTTTCTAAGAAGCTGCAAGATTATTGTTGATACAGATGAGACAACCTTTTGGCACAACTACAAATTCTAGGAAGGTGTGAATTGTGTCAAATCCAGGAACAAGACCACAGTGCCTTCACAATCACATTGCAGACCTGAAGTCAGAGTTACTATTAATGATCAGAATAACTTACCAGGGTGAAAATATAATCATATAGAAAGAGGGCTGTCTGCAGTGTTTGTGAGCAGAGTTTTACCAAACATAGCATCTGATCAGATATCTAAGAAAGCAGCATGTCTCTCTTCACTGGATAGGAGCTATATTTTTATACAGTGGGGTCTTGACTTGAGAACTTAATCCGTATTAGAAGGCGGTTCTCAAGTCAAAAAGTCTGTAAGTCAAGTCTCCATTGACGTACAATGCATTGAAAACCGATTAATCCCGTAACAGGCCGTTTTTGTTCCATTTTGGTTTTTTTCTGGTCTGTAAGTCAAATCTCAGTCTGCAAGTCAAACCTAAATTTTGCGGCCAGAGAAGTCTGTAACTCAAAAAGTCTGTAAGTCAAGCCGTCTGTAAGTCAAGGGTCCACTGTATTTGGTAGTAGTGGAGAAATGATTTACCACTCAGTACCTGCACCATGAAAGGGAATACCTCCAAATAAACATTTTTACAAACAGGCTATTAGCCACACTGGAGAGATGTATCCCAATCACTGGAAATAGGCTATATAGCATATACTTGTTTAACCACTATCTGCAATCATCTAGATGTGAAAACAGCACCAGGCCACTATCAGAGATATTCATATTCAAACTCTGAACAAATTTTCACATGCCTGAGAGGTAACATAAAGCCTGGAAAATAGTAAAGGATATGATGCCTCTAAAGTAGCAACATTTGATCCACAGATGTTCTTGGATTACAGTACCTCCCCAGCCAGGAAAGTCAATAAGAGATTATGAAAGTTGTAATCCAACAACAACTAAAGAGACCCATCACTAAGGATGCAAGCTTTAAATTAGGTTAGGTAAGAGTTGTTGGTGTTTAGGTTAATTTTACTATCTTGGCTAACTTGGGAGTTGCTTTGTTATCTAGTTACATAATACCTGGGATAACTACAGTTTAAGGGAGAATGGAGCTGAATCCTTTGAAATATCCTGTCTAATACCAAACTCTAGCAATGGCCAGGGTCAGGATTCTAGACTAGATGGAACATGTTTTTAACTTAAAAGGCCGTATTTCATTATGTTGTACATTATATTATGCACAAGGAACTATTGAAACAGTGAATCAGACTTACGCCGAGTCTCTGTGGCAGCATTCCCTTCAAACCGTGCCTGGAAGAGCACTGCAGGGCGCCCAGCAGCTATAAATGATAAGAATAAGGTGCTTCATCTTCTGTAAGCAAGTAATAAACAAGACCTCAATGGCATTTAAGTTGCCTAAACAAAAGCAGAACTGCAGCTAAGATACTTAGCTTTAGAACAGTAAGATGAATTGATTATTTACTGGAGGTCTTCCTACACTCCAATCTTTTCTTTAGATGGGACATCATTGATCAGACACAATTTACAATCTCCAAAACCCTTGCTATAAAACCTCAGGCCTATACCACATTGTGGCGTCGTCCCTCGTGCCCCTTGCCTGACCCTCCAAACACAGAGCACACGAAGGCAAACTACTACAGTGGACCATCGACCTATGGAATTAATCCGTATTGGAACGGTGTCCATAGGTTGAAAAGTCCCACAGGAATGCATTGAAAACCATTTAATCCATAACTGGCCCAACCCCCCCCCCACACACAATGAAAATAAAGACCTTACCATTCCGAAGCCTTCCAGGGGTCCCCCGCCGTCGCCACTGCCGCTGCCCGAGGCGTCCGAGGGCTTCCCTGCCACTGCCAGAGGCCTCTCGGAGGTCCCCTGCTCCCGATGACACAGACTTTCCCAGGGTGGACCGGGCCTACCAGGGGAGGGCTTCCCCTAGTAGGCCCGGTCTACTCCCCGGGAAAGCCTGGGGACTAGACCGGGCCTAATGGGGGAAGCCCTCCCCTGGTAGGCCCGGTCCACCCTGGGAAAGCCTCCCATGGCGGCGGGGAAGGCCTCAGGAGGTCCCCCTCGCCGCTGATCGAGCCTCCGAAGCACGGTTGGCAGTGGGGGGGGCCCTCTAAAATGCCTCCCACGGTGGCGGAGAAGCCCTGGAAGGCACCCGGAGGCATGATCGGCGGTCTACAGACTGGAAGGGGAATTTGGCGCTTTCTCTGTCTCCCCCTTCCGGTCCGTAGGTCGATTCTCCGGCCGCAAGATTTCAAATCGACTTGCGGCCGGAGAATCCGTACGTCGAAAAGTACGCACGTCGAGGGTCCACTGTACTCCTTTTTACCTCGCTGCCACCAGTTGATCACTAAATCAGTGGTTCTTAACCTTGGGTTACTCAGGTGTTTTTGAACTGCAACTCCCAGAAATCCCAGCTAGCACAGCTGGTGGTGAAGGCTTCTGGGAGTTGCAGTCCAAATACACCTGAGTAACCCAAGGTTAAGAACCACTGCACTAAATCAACACTATGGAAAGATGAAGATACAGGTCCAAACTTCACTGTCTTTTAAATAAAACTTTTTTATTGATTACAGATATTATTAGTCATAGATAACTTTCAAGGTTAAGAACCACTGCACTAAATCAACACTATGGAAAGATGAAGATACATGTCCAAACTTCACTGTCTTTTAAATAAAACTTTTTTATTGATTACAGATATTATTAGTCATAGGTAACTTTTATTATCATCAATCTCAGCCTCCTATTTGTTATTACAGTTCTTATTCACTTTCACTCTAATCACACCTCAGATCTCCCAAATACCACATTCTATTTCCTTGTCCACTCTCTCTCTCTAACTCTCACTGACTCTTACTCTCTCACTCCACCTCTTCATTACATTTCGCTCAGCTCCGCCTCCTAGCAACATTAGCCTACAACATGAATATTCATAACTACTTAACATAATAAGGGTGAACACATTTACAGGTTGTCACACATAAGGCATTTCCATGTAGGAATTATTTAAAAACCTGTGCATTGAACAATGGCTGTGTGGTAGAATTCAAATTAAGTCTCATTCTTCAATGGGGAGATGTTTCAAACTATGAAGCAGCCCTCTGTAGAGAACAGAACTAAAGGTTGCACTTTACACTTAATCAAAATAAAAGTCATACAGTTTTAAAATTATAGATTTTTATAAATCTTTCTTAATACAGTAAATATTTATGGAACAGTTGGCATGCTACATGTCTCATATTACTTTTTGCTTTTTACCTTATATAAGGCTAAGGTTGGAAGAAACTCTGTGCATGAATAGAGAATCTCCATGAGCCTGAACTAGATCCACAGGGTGAAGATTCTTTACCCCTAGTAAAGGAGAAGGCAGCATTTGCCCTTGTCAGTAATGGTCACAACTAGTGACCCAGCCAAACATTTAGTATGAGAGTGGGATCCTGGAGCACCCACAAACTATGAACCTGACCTTTCATAAAGAGTGTGACCCTATCTAAGGCAAGTTGCACACTTGGTCCCAAATAAGGTATTTCACCTACCAGCCATATCTATGTTTTGTCAGGATTAAATTTTATTTTGCTTATCCCATCTAATCCTGACAACAGTTGCATTACGCCAGTGCTCCAAGGATCAGATTAAAATGAAAGACAGAACAATACTGATGCCTTTGGCCCAAATGCCCAGCTGATCTCATACCACGGGGATCAAGATGGAACACTGAAGAAACCTACAGTACACTAGCCAAGTGAGGAGCAGTGATCCCTAAACACCAATGCCATTAATGGTATTAATGCCACTGAAAGGTTCTGGAGAATCAAAATGGTTGCATTCTTACAGTTCATCTTCTAAAGCAAGTCATCCACTAGGGCAAGGGTGGGCCTCATGCAGCTTACATGCCCATTTTCCAGCACCTCCACATCTCCTCTCTAAAATTAGATTAGGCATCCTTCAGTCTTGAGAGACTATGGTAAAGTGCTCTGAATAGAGGACTTGGAACAGCATCTAGTGTGGCTGAGGAGGCCAATTCAAGAATGACCATCCCTTCCACACTGAAGACAAACACAATCTGTCCCCTGTCCAGCTCCCTGATTTTGCTGGTTTCGGGACTGCCTCTTTGCCTCAGCCTGCTGGACAAGGGTCTTTTCAAAATGGAAGAGACCATGCTGCGCCGCCTGCCTCCAGGCTGAACACCCAAATGTCAAGATTTCCCATCTCTTGAGGTCCATTCCTAGGGCCTTCAGATCCCACTTGCAGATATCCTTGTATTGCAGCTGTGGTCTCCCTCTGCACTAATTCTCCATACAGGAGATCTTTTGGAATCCAACCGTCAGCCATTCCCACAACATGCCTGAGCCAAGGTAGACGTTGCTGTTTCAGTAATGTATACATGCTAAAAATTCCAGCTTGTTCTAGGATTACTCTGTTTGGAACTTTGTCCTGCCAGGTGATACCAAAAATGTGT